TAAAGATTATAGATACTTTAATTAAAGGGATTCTTGTTGATTCAATTTTGGATTAAAAAAACAATCAAAATATATGGCAAAAAAATATTTGCAACTTGAATGTTGGAGGAAAATCAAAAAAGATAATCATGAGAGAGAAAAAAAATTAAATGGGAGAGAGAATTAACAATTTGAAAAGATAAATATGAGAGAGAATGAATTTTTTTTAAAAAAAAGATATATAGAATTAATTGAAAAAAAGAGATAAAATAGGAAGAAAATTGAGACACATAAATTTTTGACATTTTTGACATTATTGCTAATATTTATAAAGTATGAATATTTTTACTAAATATGTTATTTATTTTGACTAGTTTACTTATTTTTCCTTTAATCTTTTACATGGGCCCTTTCCATGCTGTACTAGACCAATATCTAGAGGCCCAATTAACTTACTCCTATGTACATTAAGGCTCAAAGATCAAAAACAAATTAGATTTGGGCTTACTTCAATCATCTTAACAGTTAGTGTGCAGCCCAACTGTGCACCGTATCACCTCTAAATAATTACATGGGCCAAAGTGTACATATATCCTATTTTGAGATCATCGTTTAAGATATATTATTACCACGTAAAATTTACTATCGACTTCGAGAAATGAACATATTTTTATATGAAATTCTTATTTTTATATGACCCTTTTCTTTCCTTTTGACTTTTTTGGAGGGACGCTATGGCTAATATTTTCTTATACATGATGATGATTGCACTCTCATATGTAATTCTTAAGTAAAATTGTGACCATCTCATATTAAAATTAAAAAAAATATTTTTTAAAACTCATTTTTCTAATTTTTTTTCTTCCATATTCTAGTTAGTATTTTATTCAAAATATATTCTACTCCATACTTTTAAGATAAGACAAAATCTTAAGTTAGTTATATAATATATGAGAAAATGTATACAAATTTAACCTTATCTTGTACAAATAAAAAGATGACATTCACTCCAAAACAAGTAAACCTTTCAAAATTTAAATATATCAGAAGCATGAAAATAAAAAATTTAAAGGTAATGTATTCCAGTTGAATAAAATATAAAGTATGGTCCCATCTCCACCGAAATACTAGGGACCCAAAATTCCATGCAGAATCTATAACGGCGCTAACGCGTTTCTATATCATATAAATTTATATATATATATATATATATATATATATATCTCGTGAGAAAATAATTTGAAAAATATTTTAGTTTTGATTAAAATTATTTTATAGTATTAAATTTTACAAAAGATTTTTTTATCTTATATATTTTTAAAAGTGTATTTTAGCATGTCAATGTGAATACGTACAATTTAAAATAAGGTAATATTTATGATATCTACGTAGATATTTATATACCTTTAGAAAAACACTATTAAATCAAGAGTAGATATCTTCTATAAAATTTATCATCACAATAATAATTTCTATTAAAGTTTAAATATGTTTCAGAGTGTTTTCCCTACTTATTATTATTTTAAACTATTTTTTAAAAACACACTATTCTTTCGTAAATAACTCCTTTTGCAAATAATATCTTTTTATTTTTTCAACAAATTTTTAATTAAAATTTTGATATATAACATGTTTTCGACAAATAAATCGATTTGTCGCAACAGTTGTCGGTAATTGAGGAAAAAATAGACCAATGAATGAGGGTAAATCCGTCATTTCATTTTCATTTCCCTCACCCAAACGTTTAAATGCTTTGCCATTGAAAACGACCTGCAACTATAATCAAAGAGTGAGCTTTAATGCCCCAATTTTTCATCCTTTGCTTTAATTAAATTTTTCCCACTTTAAATTCATACCCAAAAAGCGCCATATAAAAAAGATTTTTTTTTTTCAAAAAAAAAATTGAATTTTTTTTGGTGGGTGGGTGGTAAAGAAGGATTGCCGTTAAAGCTGGCGTTGAATGAGGAGCTGGAAGAATTTTGTCTGAATTTAGGATTTTTTTTACTTTATTTGTTGGTAGATTCTTGAAGATGACAAATATTTAGGACCTATTTTTGGTTTAGTGTTGTTTTTTAGCTTGGTTTAGTTTTTGGCAACTTAAATTAAATTAGGATTGTTGAAAAAGTTAAGATTTTCCCCTTTTTCTCTTGTGTTTTGAACTGACTTTTTAGTCCTAGAAGATACTATCAAATACTATTTAGGACCCATTTTTGGTTCAATGTAATTTCATAATAATATTTTTAATTTTTTTGACTTTATTTATATTTGTTTCGTTGTCTTTATTGTATTTGCAGATCTATGAATGTGAAAGCTTCAATCTTTTTTCTCTAATATTTCTTTTTCTTGATAGAATAATTAGGTTTTTACATTTCTAGAAGGAAAAGGAATCGACCCTTTTGGCTCTTCTTTCTTCTGAGCTCCAAAAATCATTTTTTTTCTTGTTTATTTGGTCCTTTTAACTGTTTTGTTCATTTTGAAGCTCCTATATAGTAATTTAAGCAGGAATTTGAGGTGGGGTTTTGTGGTTTTTGAAAAATCTGTGCTTGGTTATGAAGTAAAATTGGCTAAAAAAAGCTTTTGAAGAAAAAAAAATGGGTTGCTTTTCTTGCATGAGGTTTAATCGAAAAGATGTAAGAGATTTTGATGAAGATATGGGTTCAAGATCCATCAAATCTTCAGGTTTGCTTCTTAGATTTTCCTTTGTTGCTATCTACTTTGATAAAAGATTCAATTTTTAGCTTTTGATACAATGTAGGAACTACTGTTATTGTATAGTTTTTGTTTATCATTACTCCGTTTTAATTTGTTTGTCTGTTTTTGGCTGAAAAATTGGAATTAAAAAATTGTTGAAAAGAAAACGAAAGAGACATTTTTCTTGAAATGGACTGGAAAGTAAGGTATACAAACAAATTGAAACGAAGGAAGTACTTTTTTTGGCTGTCACACAATGTTGTGTGTGTATATTAAAATCTGTTCTTTTGATTCTAGAAATGTAAGGGTTGTTAGATACTTTGTTGTTAGTAATGTCTGAGATTTGAGTTGAATTTGAGAGATGGGGAGTTTGATCATGTGATGCTTTAGTTCATTGTATTGAATTATGGGTTTTTGTTCATGTTTAGGGAAAGGTATAAAAGGACGTTCTTTTGGAGGGAAAGGTGGGGATAGCAACAACCATAAGGGTAATGTCGCGCGCAGTTTCACATTCAAAGAACTTGCCTTAGCAACCCAGAATTTCAGAGAAGCTAATCTTATTGGCGAAGGTGGTTTTGGAAGTGTGTACAAGGGCCGCCTTGAATCAGGCCTGGCAAGTTTTCTACTTCTGCAGGCATTTTGGCTTTTGATTTTCATAGCTTGCTAACTTTCTATTCTCTGAAAAGGTTTATTGTTTGTCATTCTACCTGTCCAAAAGAAACAGTGGAGGAGAATGTGTTGCATAGGTGGAAATTTGAATACTATGTCCTAAAAAGATGAAAAAATTCTATGATAGGCTGCACTTGATAGCCGTTTATTGTTCCTCATGTGTTCTGATCTTGTAAACAGGTTGTTGCAATCAAACAACTTAATCTTGACGGCCTTCAAGGACACCAGGAGTTCATTGTGGAGGTCCTCATGTTGAGTTTATTACATCACAAAAATCTTGTCAACTTGACCGGATACTGCACCGATGGTGACCAAAGGCTCTTGATTTATGAGTTCATGCCAATGGGAAGCCTGGAGAATCATCTTTTTGGTAATTAAATTTCTTTCACAAGTAATATACCAGTTTGATTTCACTGCTTTGTTTATCCAAGTTTTGTTAGTCAAGCTGTTTTTCTTCCACTTGCTTCAAAGATGTTGAATCATGAGTCATGATCCTACATCTGTGGAAGATTTTTTCATAAGCATTCTAGTACTATTATGGCTATATTACATGACATTAGCTTTTGCTTTCACAAGATGTTGAATGTGAAATTGAGATTACCTGTATTATATCTTCAGGATTGCTCTCATTGGTTACTGTAGTGGAAGGTGCTGGACAAGCTCATGTCCTATCTGTGTGCTTGTATTAGTATTTTGTTATGAGCGATGAATAATTTTTATATAATTTACTTATAATCAAATAGTATTTTGTTATAATTTTGTATTTATATTGCTTAATAGCACATTTCTCTGAACAGTATGTTACTATTGATATTGTAGATGTAGAACCAGGAAAGAAGCCACTGAGTTGGAGCACAAGACTTAAAATTGCTTCTGGTGCAGCTCATGGACTTGAATATCTTCATTGCAAAGCGAATCCCCCTGTTATTTACCGTGATTTGAAATCTTCAAACATATTGTTAGACAATGATTTCAACCCAAAACTGTCAGATTTTGGACTTGCAAAGTTGGGACCTGTCGGCGAAAACACCCATGTTTCGACGCGAGTGATGGGAACTTATGGATACTGTGCCCCTGAGTATGCCATGAGTGGAAAATTGACTCTGAAATCTGACATCTATAGTTTAGGTGTTGTGCTGTTGGAGTTAATAACAGGGCGAAAGGCTTATGACAACTCTAAAGAGGCTGGAGAACAGAACCTAGTTGTTTGGGTGAGTTTATATTATCTACTGTGCCTGCATATTAATTTCTGTCTACTTATAGTTCCTGCTCAAATATTTTGCACTATGGTTTTCAGATTTTACAATCTATCTATATTCAATCGATAACCGTTATTGCTTGTTCATTGCCGTGTTTCGTCTATTTGAACTATGCTGTTGCATATTTTACTAACCAATCTTGTTAATTCTCTTCCTAACTTGCATGTTGAGCTTGCCAGTAGATTGGATCACAACCTGATTCCAGTAGATTATTTACTGCTTTTTGTACTTCAATTGTTGTACTTTTTTTGTTTTAGTTACTGTGCATCCTTTTCCAAACTGCTTTTATATGTGTTTCATCGAGCCGAGGGTCTATTGGAAACAAGCACTCCACCTCCCGGATAAGGGTAAGGTTGTTGTTGGAGTTTGGTTTAAGCAAAGTAAGCTGCTTAAAGAGTTTAGCCGTCATCTCAACTGAAATAATAGCTCGTTGATGAATCTTTTGATCTTACTAAATTTTAAAGTAAAAGATGTTTTTATCTTTATCTGCTCCATCTAGGATTCTTGATCTGAGAAATTCTTCTCTTGGTTTCAGTCTCGTCCTTTCCTCAAGGACCGGAGAAAGTTTGTTCATATGGTTGATCCTTTGTTGAATGGTCAGTTTTCCGTGCGCTCTTTGCACCATGCAGTTGCAATTACTGCAATGTGTATCCAGGAGCAAGCCAGTTTTCGCCCCATCATCAGTGATATTGTTGTCGCACTTGACTATCTAGTCTCACAAGCAGAAAGCTCTGATTCGCAAGGAGGTGGTTCACAAACTGTAAAGCAAACACATGATCACAAGGATAATTGAACGTCAGTTCAAGAAAACAAATTCTGTTCCGTGTTAAAGCTTGTCCACATCAAATTTCTAAAGGTCACGATGAGAACTGCTGAGGAGTATTGAGGTAAGAAGACATCTCACATGCAATGCGCGTCCGCTGATTATGATGAACTGTAAAGAAGGTTGCACAAAATGTTAACAAAATACTGGTGTTAGGATTTTGTTTCTAGCAAAAGTAAGTTAAATATATATATATACCTAACCCTTTAAGTGTGTTGGATTCGCCAAAGGTAGGTTGATGGAGATAGTTTATAAACATTCTTTTACGTGTCTCTTGTCTACATATTTCCTTACTTCTCCTGTTTGGTTGGTGTGGATTGAGGAAGTTCCCATTTCTTATACAAACTTTGTGGTTGATATGTGAATATATATGTGAAGATATATCCTGCACACATCTTCTCTTGATGGGGGCAGAAAGTTGTACAACAACCTTCTATGTGTTGTCCAACTAGTTCTTTGTCTTCCTTTTGTTGGGGGTTATCTTGTTCTGTTTTACTCTTGAAGTCAAGGAAATATTACTCTTTTTTCCTTTTTTAACAACTGCGGTGTTTGCGCCAGACTAATTCTGCGAGGTACCTAACTTACATATATGGCGCTAATTCTACGAGGTACCTAACTTACATATGGCTAATTATGGACTTATTTGAACAGATGCAAGTTATAGCAGATGGAGAGATAAAGTGGCTGTTTGTTTTCTCACTTGACTTTATCCACACATGTCTAATTTTCTTCTTTTGCTATCATAAAAAAATTTGTTGAAAAGGCTAGACAAACTTTTTGGTGTTGCAGATGATGTTTCCTCCAGTCAATGAAGCAAGAAAAATGCAGACTATTCCTCTTCCTGTATTTTTGGCTGCAACATTGGTCAAGATTGAGTCTTGTTTCACATTATTTTGATATTCTTTAAACACAAGTTTATGTCTAGGGCCAGTGGCGGAAGCTGAAATTTTCACTAAGCGGGTTGAAAGTGTGAAAAGTAAACACAGAGAAGCCAAATATAGAATATGTATTTTTTGTTAAGTAGCTCGTGACCCTATCTGGCTCTGCCCCTTAGCACAATTAATTGTAATTATATACTACAAATTAACTAATTGCTGAAACCATAATCAACATCAATTTACGATAAAAATTAAAATTGATTCAATAAAAAAAGAAATCTAGGTGTGAAACCAACGATATAAGGAAGCTAATGTTAAATTGTTGAACTACTCTTGTAGTATGAAAGAGTTCAATATTATAATTCACATGATATACTAGTGATGGTCTAGGATAATTTTTTACATACTATGTTATTTAAAAGTTAAATGCAGCTAGTAATGTATAGAATGGAATATATTGGAAACCAATAAATATTATGAATGACAATTGTATGAGATGACATGAAAAAACAATAAAAAGGAAGTGAAGGTATAACATAAAATGATGGATTTTAATATTTGATATTTATATTAGAATTTCTAAATTTTTATATTTATTCGCATAAGAATTATTATAATAATAATAATGACAACAAATTCAATTGTATTTTTTCATCACATAACACTTTGGATAAGATTTATAAGAACTGGAGAAAAATCATCTACTCATTATAATTTTTATATTGATTTGAGTTAAATACAGCTCATATATCCAAGATTAAAAAGTGATACATCTAATTTAGTCTATAGTTTTACAGAGTCAACCTATTCACATTATTCTCTTTTTTCTAAGAAAGTTCCTCTAATTGCCGACTTTTAAATATGAATTTATATTTCACAATTTTCCATCTTTCTCATTTTTATTATATATCTTTATTTTTCTCTAATGTATATCTTTGTTTGAGTCGTTCAATTCCCATTGATTGAAATAAATAATATTTATATAAAATAGTACTATCTTTTCTAGTCTTCCTTGTTATGTTTATAAAGTGTGTCACGCTTTATTTTAGCATGTATAGAAATTGTTTTATTATAAAGCTACAATCGTATCAGATCAACTTGCCTGATTTAATTTGCATTCTTTTAATCAATAACAATAATAACATAATTAGTGTACGAATAAAATTATAATTTCACTATACAAATTATTTCTATCTTAATATGTGTGTTATTTCTAAAATGAACAACTAAATAGGGATCGAGGGAATATTTCTTTAGCCATAAAAGTCAAAACGTTGGAAAAATAAGCCTATTGTTGAGACATGTCTATTATAATGAAAACAAGAAAAAATAGTGAAAAGAGAAAAACTTTTTTAAAAATAATGATTAAACGTTTCTTGTTTTTTTGTTGTTGAATAATATGAAATTGATCATCAAATGTTTGATTACACATGAAATTCCAAGAATGTGAAAACAGTACTCCAATTTATCCCAAAAAGAAACAAACATTAATTTGTTGAAAATCTTCAGCATGTCTCATTCTAAAAGTTGTCAAAATGAGAGCCAACCATGTGAAAAAGTTTAGTTTAATAAGGTGCTATTAAATTCGGATTTACCTCAAAATAATTTATATTAAAAGAAGTATTTCGTAAAATTAATTTCATAGCTAAATAAAATTTTGAATTTTTTGATTAAGAATAAGATTAATTTTTAGCTATTCTTTATATGTTGGTTTTGAATTTCTTTTTTTAAAAGCTATAATTTGAAAAGTAATCAACCTTTTTCCAGAAGAAAGAGGCAAAAATTGGTTGACAAAATAGATTAAATCTTTTTTAATAGGTCAAAGGTATAGTTTTAAATTATTAAAAATCTACAAATTAGGAAAAATAATTGAAGGATTTATTCAAGTTTGAATTTTTGCCCCATATTATCGCACTTGTAATAAATCCTTAATATTGGTAAATAAAAGATTTTTGGTAGCTTTTGTTACCTAATAACACGTGTAACTAATGATGTATTATTCATTAAATTTGTCATCTTTATGCAAATCCTATTAAGTTAATTAACTATTGACATCACGTATAGAAGTGAAAATACCAATTGAACTTCGTAAAATTTAAATTTTAGATATTAACATAGATATCATATTTGAATAAATAAGTTCTGATTGAATTTATATTTCGAATTTTTATGTGACTTTCTAGCTCCGCCTTATTATATATATATGTGTGTGTTACATGCATGTTTATTATAACTTTTAATATTAATATCATATTCAAATAAACAAGTTCTAAGTTCATATTTCAAATTTTTATATCTTTCTAGCTCCGTCCTATTGTACATGTATGTGTTACATGCATGTTCATTGTAACTTTTGACATTAATATCATATTCAAATAAATAAATTTAAGTTTATATTTTAAATTTTTATACAGACTTTCTAGCTCCGTGTTACATGCATATTCATTGTAACTTTCCATGTTTCATACATCTTCAAAATGTGCCCTATATTTTAGGTAAGTGACAACATATAAGCCAAAAATAAAAGTAGACTTTGTGCTTTATGTGTAGGTCCACATTATTAATAATATAACCATTGAAAATGAGCTTAAGTCCCAAATAGACTGATTATAAAAATAAATTTAAAAAAATCCCAATATATAGACTGAGTCTGATAAACCAATTTCTCATGTTAATATACTATCTCTTTCATTGCCTATATATTTTAGAGTATTAATGGTGTTGACACTTTTTTCTTCTCCACACATTTTGGAAAATAAACCCCATTAACTAAGGGTGTGTTGGATAGGAAGAAAAATGTAAAAAATAAGTTATTTTTTCTTTATTTTCTTAATTTGATATGAAAATTAAAAATATTATTTTAAATACATTTACATATAATCTGAATAAATACTATGACAGATGGGCGAGGTTGGTGGTATGATTTTGGGGTTGGGTAAAGATGAGTTATGTTATAGCTAGGGTGCTGAAAACATAGTAAATATGGAACTTTTTTACTCTACTTTTGTACCAGCAAAGTAATTTTTATTATTTTTTTCGAAAAACTAACCGAACATAAAAAGAATTTGAGATTTTTCTCCCTTCAGAGTTGCACCCTAATTATTTTGAAAGAGAAAAACAGAAGTTATGCTTACTACAAAAGAGTCAAACAGTACAATTTTTATTTTAGGAAGAATTCAAAGGTTTACAGTGTGGTTGTTCGTTGGAAAAAAAAGAGTCAATAATTGATTTGTTCAAGGACGTAGAATTATTTCCAAATTGACTTTCGAAGAAAAAATACAACATAATAATTAAAAGTGTATCGGCATATAACTTTCATGAAAATTCCAAAAAATGTAAAATGTGATTTAGTGTTCTAAGTTCATTGAGATAAGTACCTATTGTCTTGAAAAGGAGGTTTTAGGAATTTAATTTACAAAATCATATTTCAGAAAAAGGACTTGAAACTTGTGTGCCGTTATTAGTGCAATCACATTCCTAAAATTATAATGTAAATTGTACAAAAGAAAATGGCCATAGTATTTATCGAGATGAAGATTTATAAAGTCTGTCATCTTGACTTTATATTCCAATACATCAATTATAAAAATTACGTTGACAATATATATACATATATAACTAAAATTTATTTGTTCCTTCTTCTTTTCCTTTTACCATAACAAAAATAATCATTTCTTAATTATCGTTAAATATGTATTTTTAATAGTAATTGTGACTCTTTGTATATGTTCCTAAAACTTTTAACGATATTAGTTCTAATAACACTTAATTGATGCTAATAAAAAAATTTAGCATTTTATATTAATATTAATATTTAATACTGATAAAAATTATATTTTTTTATGCTGCTCTTAAATATTATCTATATATATGTCTGGTTATACTTATATTTATGACCCCTACAGTTGGTCAGAATGTAGACTAATTTTAACTTTACTTTCTGGATTTAATGTTAGTATAAAGTCAATATTTTCTTTTAATATTACAATATAATGTACAATAAGATATGCTTCTAGTGCATATTTACTACGTTTGTGACGCGGTATAGTTGACTTGTTCTTATTATTATTTTTTTTAAAAAAAGTTAAACGCACCTCTTTTAAGAAATAATAATATTAAAAAAACTTCTAAATTTCATGTATCTTTTATTATTTTCTTGTTGAAATCATATAAACTACTTATTATGTTCATTTTCTACAATGTTTTAATACTAATATTATGTTCTAGAAAAAGATATTCAAAGCAAAGCAATTTTAATGTGTCTGTGCAATATTTTTAGAAGTCAAATAACTAATTTTAATTTACATAAGTAAAAATTAAACGTAAATGAAATGATCTGTTAGATTTAAATATAATAAATTTAATTTATATTGATTATATTATTAATCTATATGTGTATTATATATATATATATATATATATATATATATATATATATATCTTAAAAGTTGACCACTGATGTTTAATTTTATCCTATCATGTCCAAAGAAGATATCCTGAAGTCTTGTTGGCTAGAACAAGTCATAGCCGTAATAGGATTGATATTTCATTAGATTTCAACATTTTTTTTTAATCTAAATACATAATTTTTACTTATAAAATTTAACAGTTAAAATTGTAAATCTTAAAGTTTCGGATTCAAAAAAACTCTAATCATGAATAATTCTCTTTTTAATAAGATAGAAATAGTACTCACTCAAGTAGTCCCTTTTTTTTAAAAAAAAAAATGAGATGATCACTGGTTATTCATAAATGAAAGGAAAAAAAAAGATTTTTTAAATATTTTATATTTTAAAAAGAAAAACCTCTCAGGTATGAAATGAGTTTCTTTTATAAAAGATCATAAAACCAAAAAATTTAATTATAACTGAACTACAAAAATCAATCTCGTCCTTGAAAAAGTAATAGACATATATATAAAATTAACTCAAATTTTAATTTACATAACTCAAAATTAAACGTAAATGAATGATCTGTTAGATAAATATAATAAATTTAATTTATATTGATTATATTATTAATCTATATGTGTATTATTTTAATATATATATATATATATATATATATTAAAAGTTGACACTCATGTTTAATTTTATCCTATCATGTCCAAAGAAGATATCCTAAAGTCTTGTTTGCTAGAAC